AGTAAATTATACAACAATAACCATGAATTGAAATGATGAAAATTGGTATATAGTGACTAATTGATTAGCACACCTTCAACAGTCCAGCTTCAGGAATCAACCTCGCTCTCCTTGGCGCATGCCTAGGCCTCGCACCTATACTCGGGGGAGGGGGGTGGGTTGGCCCCCCCCTCTAGCCCGGGCCCTAGGCGGTTGCACAACCGGCCTAGGCCCAGGACCGGCCCTAATGCTCGGATCCGTGAGGGAGGCTGGTGCTCCCGAGGCAGAGGATTCCCCCTGAGCGGGCGACACCACTGCCACCGTTGACGCACACCTCCTCCGTCGGCCTCCTCACGCACTGCTGGACTCACAATTGTTGTCACCACAGTCCGCCAGCCTCCTCGCACGCTTCCGTCGGACTAAAGAGAGAGAGAAAGAGGACGAGGAGCAGAGGAGAAAGTAAGAGAGAAGGAGAGGCAATAAATGAGTGGAGTAGTGTGAGTAGATAAGGATGAGGAGTGGTAAGCATCGCAAGTGGGCCTCTTAATAGGCTCGTGTGGGCTTATTAAGAAATCCGCTTGCGAAAATAGATTTTCACGAGCGGGTTTGTAATGAACACCACCCAAATAATTTTACAAACAGACATTCTTTTAGCCCGCTTACGATTAAATAGGGGGTATCCGCAGAAACCGTTTTTAGTGGAGGGGAGAAAATTAGACAAGAACGGATACTTCATGAAGCATGCATGATCGATCGAGGGCACAACATGCGAGGCAATTTAGGGCGTGCTTGTTAGGTCTCCAAATCCTAAATTTAATTTCATAATACTTACTCTATCTAAAATAAGTCTAATCATGTGTGTCTAGATTCATTCGTAGGTTTGGACTTATTTTGGGACAGAGAGAATAGTTCACAGTGTAGTTATGGAGCTTCCTAAATCCCGCTACACCTCTCCAGTTTATTTTAGCCAGCTTCGCTTATCTTTTGGGTGAAACTGAAACCGCTTGGTTGGGCTCTAGTTTCAAAAAAGATGGAGCTAGAGCTATGCCAAATAAGTCCTTAGTTGAAAATATACAGAAATTAGTGATGGATTGTGAGGTGATGGCGGCACTAAGAAAATGATCGGCGACGAAGCCAGTACACGGGTAGTTCGGACGGCAGCCCCGTTAGTGCCTCCACTGTATATAGGTGGCCGTCGACATCTTAAAAAATGATTGACCATAGAAAAACGCTATTGATCACCCGACAGAATTCGACCGTATCATCGGCTCCGCCACCAAAAATAGTGGAGAAAGTAGCGAGAGAAGAGTGGGAGAGATAAAAGATAATAATCATTAAGAGCTAGCAGTAAATATCTCTACCGGGATATACTTCAGAGACTAACGAACCTCCTGTAGTACCTGGAGGTAGTCCCCGGGCTTATCTCGTCCTCTAGACGTGCCCTGCGAGATTATTTACCGTGCTCTGCTGCATGTCTCCTCACCACACGGCTCCCATCATCTCTCGATCAGCATCTGAATTTCGGGACAATATATATACGGTCGATGTGCGTCGATCCGAATTCTGCCAACAACTGCCACTGTTAACCGTATACTAATAAAACCGCTCTGCACCTGCAGTGCTGTGGCTGTGCTGCTGCTGCCGTTTTGTTCGCCCCATTTTCTCGTGCGTTTCGCGGTCGCGCTGCTGCTGCACAGCCACAGCACTGCAGTGGCCGGCCCCCGCCTGTGCGTTTTGCTTCCGTTTTCTCGTGCGTTGTTTGGGGTTTGCCTTTGCCGTTTTGCGGATGGGTATACGGTACGGGCAGGGGCGATTAAATGGGCGACGTCACGTTGGACGTCTCTCTGAGCGACTGAGCGCTGCATATTGTCAAACCCGGTGAATATCCCCGCGGCTTGGCCAACGTCACGCGATCTCCCCCTTGTCTGCCTGTCTGCGTCTTGGCTGGCCAGTTCAAACTCCTCGTCACGTGACCGCACAGGGCTATATATCTCTCTTCACTCATTTTTTTTTCAATTTTAAAAATAAACTTTTTCAAGACCTGCTGAGCTGGCGTGATAAAACAATACTATCATGATGGTCTGAATGGTATAGCAGCGTCATTTGACCACCGTTTTCGGATAAGAAAAAACTTTAGTCTAAATGTATGTGGGTATCGAAAGTTTGCACTATTTTTTTTTACTTTGAGATACTAGACACATATGCATACACACCGCTACACAATACACACGACACCACACTCACGCCCGACGAATACGCCCCCTAAGACATTCTAAGAGGCGAAAACCAACGTCATTTTCAATCTAAGTACATGTGGGTATCAAAATTTTACAGTAATTTTTTTATAGCTTAAGATACCTAAGTACCTGCTAGTACATTTTTATGGATGTTAAAATTACCCTTCAGATAAAGCTAGCAGATTTTCCCACGTAAGTTGCATGGAGAACTTAAATGTGGTTAAACTTTTGTTTCCTTTTCTCCCTTGGATTAAAGGATTTCCGAAGGAAAAATAGAGGAATCTAATCCAAAATAGTAATTTGTCTGTATGCTACTATTTGGTTTAGGAAAAAAAAAAGTACAAATTACCCCCTAACTATCGTGGTCAACCGAATTAGCCCCTAAACTCAAAAATCAGACATTGCCCACCTTGAATTTTTAATACCGGACAAAACACACACCCCCCCCCACCCTGAGCACTATTGCAAGCGGTTTAGAGTTCAAACAGCACACGTGGTAGTCCAGTCATCCTTTTATTTTTTAAAAAAATCGCTAGGGCCCACTCTTCAGAATCCCCACCCATCTCTCTCTTCTCCATCCCCTCAAAAAGCGTGCGACGGCCGGGGAGAGGGCGCGACGCGATCAGCGCTCTTCTCCCTCCTGTTCTGAAGCGCGCGGCGATGGGGGGGCTAGTTCAGGACTCCATTTGCAAGCTGCTCGGATAATTTCATTACCTTCACGAGCAAGATCGCGCTAGGGCGACATAGCACGGCGACGCGACCGACGGCGGCATGGGGCTAGTTCAGGACTCCATTTGCAAGCTGCTCGGATAATTTCATTACCTTCACGAGCAAGATCGCGCTAGGGCGACATAGCATGGCGACGCGACCGACGGCGGCATGGAGGCGGAGGCGAGGGCGGCGCGGCGAGCGCGCAGAGGACGCAACGGCGATCAGAGTACTGCTAAAATCTCTCCTCTCTCTTTCTTCCCTCTGGTGTGCAGCGAGATTGGGGAGGGCACGTCGCGATGGGGCCAGAGGGGTAGAGCCGCCGGCGAGGGCGTTAAAAGGAGAGGAAATTGGAGTGGCGGTGGAGCAGGCGGCGGAGGAGCAACTGGGTGCGGGGATGACGGGGATGGGCGACAAACTCGTCGTCGTATCCTACCACCTCCAATGTCCTCCGCGCCGCCCGCCGCCTGCCTCGCCCGCCCCACCGCACGCGCCTGCTTGCTGCTCCGAGTCCTCACCTCAGCATGGAGACGAGAGACGGGAGTCGGGAGAGCGAGCGAGCGAGCGAGCGAGCGAGAGAGAGAGAGAGAGAGAGAGAGAGATAGGGAAAGGCGGCGCGCGCTGACGGCGCTCACTCGCGACCCCGAGCTGCCTCAGCCTCGCCACTGACCGCGCCGCCCTCGCCTCCGTGGTCGCCCAGCCATGTCACACCTCTCCCTCGCCATGGCTGCCTTCTCACGTAAGTCCGACGCGGTTGCTACTCCCCCAACCACAGGAGGACAAGGCCTGGTGAGCTTGATAGGCCGGCCTCCACCTCGAGGAGACTCGCAACCGCTGGCCCGCCGCTTGTCCTTGACCGCGCTGCCTTCGCCTCCACGGTTGCCGGCCTCTACAGCCGTCCCGCTGTCACGCCCTCTTCCCTGCCATCGTCGCCTTCTCGCGTAAGTCCGGCACCAGCCGCCGCTTTCTCGACCACAGGAGGACGACGCGAATGGTGAGCTCGACGGGCCAGCCACCACCGGCGCGCGCGCCGCTCATTCTCAGCGCGAGCGAGCGACGGACGAGAGAGATAGGGAGGTGAGAGGGGATAGAGAGGTATGACAGGTGGGCCCCACCATTGTTTTAATAAAAATTTGCTATCTGGATTACCACATAGGACCGAAACCACTCCGATGTTGAGTTAGGGGGTGTTTTATCCGGTACTGAAAGTTTAGGGTGAGCGATATCTGGTTTTCGAGTTCAAGGGGGTAATTCGGTCGACTACGATAGTTCAGGGCAGTAATTCATACTATTTCCTTTGGTTTATATGTTTGATTCAAAGGAATTTCATAGGATAAGAAAGATTACTCCATATTTTGGAGGAAATGTTTTTACTATACGGTAAACACATATGCACACACACCACTACACAAAACATGCGACACCACATTTACACCCCACAAATACACCCCCTAGCACATACTCTAAGAGATGTAAACCAGCGTCGTATCCCTAATCTCACTAAATTCCTGTTGACACCAGCGTCGTATCCCTAATCTCACTAAATTCCTGTTGAAAGTCCACCTAACATGTTTGGAGGAATTCTAACATGCATGAGAGTTAGCATCATGTTTTCAAAATCCTTTGGTAGTTCCAATGCAATGTGTTTTTCTCTCTCCCTTCTTTCTCAATTCCTCAATTATCATGTTACAACCTTATACAGCTCACTGTATTACTTCCTCGTTCTAAACTACAAGTACTTTTGGAAATTTTAATGGGGATCAAGGAGTAAGGTAAAATTATATTTTGAGACAAAATTTAAGCGTTAGTAGGGTAGGAGCTATATTGTGAAACAAAGGGAATCATATTTCCTACTTTGTAAATTTATGTTGCATTTCTGTAGTAACTGGTGGCCGGCAGTATGCATCTTGATGTAGTGGTTGGATTCATTTCTATCATCAAAAAATTAAAACATCCGAAAACGAACGGTAACCGGACTTCGTTAGGGGGCCACTAAATCCTGAAACACCTGTAAATTCCAAACACGGTGACCGGTGAGTTCACAACGCGTATTCGATCCTGTAGTGCACGACAATATACGTGTGGCACGCACGGCCAAATGGCGGTGGAAGGTAGTGGTTGTCTTGTGCAAGTATTTATACATGGATGAAACGCGACTACGGCGGGAATTGAAGCCTACGAGGAGAGATGAGCTGAGCGGACAGTAACCCAGAGCTTTATTATGATGATTATTATTACTGCTGCTAACAAGTACTACCACTGTTCCAATAACGTCTACTATAGGCTAGCAGATGCTCACCTGGCCTAGTTACTTTTTTTGGGGTACGTTGGGAGTTGGAGGTTGAAATGCCGTGCGAAATCTTTCAGAGGAATGATGGTGCCGACGATGATCTATCAATATCATATCTGGATGCAGGATGTCAACATGTGTACCGGGTGATTTGCAGGTGATTTTATGGGGCGCCGTCCGTTCATCCATCCAGCCATGATCCAATTCCAATCTACCTGCGTCCCTACCAGAATTGACGAGGTTTGTTTGAGCTTTTCAGAAATTAGCAGAAGTGAGTTTACTCCGGCACTCAAAGTTGTCCCGTACCTGGAGTAATCGCCTTTGTCACCTTACAAGAGGAATGAGAAGGTATTCCGCGTAGAACAGCTGCACAAACCATGTGGGGGGAAGTAAATGGGTTAGCGTTTAATTAGCGATTGGATTGTTTCAGGATACGCGAGCTGAAGAAGGTAAACAACCAATTGATTGAGCTGGGGCAGTACAGTAGTACGTAGCAGGAATTTGTCAAGGAGGGCAGGAAAGTGGGTGAAAGATCAGGAACAGATTTTGGAGACGAGGTAATTACCTTCCAGATAAACATGTAGAAAGAAGTGATTGCAGTTTTGCTTGTCAGATCAATCGACCGTGAGCGGTTCCATAGGATTGCCGCAAGGATTGCATGTCCCACCACCTTCAAAAGAATATAAATTCCACTTCATAAACAAACCAGGAACATTATCTTAAAAAAGATAAACAAATCTCGAAGAAGCATACATCACAGTCCATGAAAGCCTGACAGGTGCCAGGTTAATCACTAGAACTGTATTCTAGGAAAGATCTGGACAGGTAAACAAGTTTATCACAAAAGGTAGAAGGCAAATTCAACAAAACACACAGCCGTGGGCTTCCAGACACAAAAGTCGAAACAATTTTAATACTCTGTAAAGAAAACATAGCCCAGCCCAGCAGTTATGGCTTTGTTTGGATGCTACAAACCCAAGCAGGATCGATCCTGGCCCAAAATAATTATTGGCACCAGCTGGAATCCAGGCCAGAATTGGACCATCCAAACAGAGCCTTCTGCAGATAGCTTAAGATGCTAGAACTGACACTAATTTATTTCTTTTAAGAACTGGCAGTGGTAATCAACCATAATTGAATCTAGTCTAATACTGGTTAGCTTAACAAAGTAAATTTGACAATCCGAAAACACCTGGCATATATAAATAATAAATAAATCATAGTTCATAACCAAAACTAATCATTAATAATGCTGCTGAGTCGCAAGAGAGGTGATCCATACAGTTGCGTATTTGCTCCACAAACAGGCAGAAGTAGCTCCCATCAATATTGCAACACAATAAGCCATCTCGAGCAGACCAACACAAATCCAGAAAACCTGTTCGGATGTTTGTATCAACAAGTAGAAGAGTAATTCTCTGAGAAGTGCACTTTTGCACTAACCTTCTTTTGACCTAATCGAACACTGAAAGATTTGATACCAAAAATACGGTCTCCTTCAATATCAGGTATATCCTACACGGAAACAGCAAATTTTATTAAGGCGAATCCGACCACTTCTGCAGCTAGATTTTATAGGGAGTTACCTTCCAGATAAGTACAGAATATTACCTTGAACAATGCTATTACAACGGAGAAAAAGGTCATGAATGCAGTTGCAAAAATCAATGGCCTGGTAAAGACTGCTGGTCTTCTGAATACGAATGTCTGATATATTTGCATGAATAGATCGTTAGGATAAGATAATGTGCTATGCAATTATCTGTTCATATGATCATAATATCTGATAATCCATGGTAAAAGCTCCTGGAATAATAGAAAGGTGCAGATAATTCTCACAAAAAAGAAGCGTCTACTCTTATTTGGTGGATCCTAATTACAGCTATCAACAACCATGGCATATTAAACTCAAAATATAAGAAAGAGATCCGATTATCCAAACATATACAACAGCATTCTTTAAGATATATTCCAAGCAAAAGTAGAGGTGAAAAATTTAGGAGTCTCTATTCTTTTAAAGAAAGCACAGGAGAGCAGCATGTTTGTACTAATAAAAATATGCAGATAAAGGTCAAGGTATTGAAAACTTAGGAATCTCTAAAGAACAACAATACAGCACAATGAAATTGACCAGACCAGACAATCTAATTTTAGATAATGTTCCACATGAAAATGCAACTGCAATTGACAAACGTACTGATTTTCACCAATGATTTTTTTTCTTATTTTTGAGGTTGTCACTGAAGACTCGCCTGAATGTGGAGAAAAAATGCCAGCTGAACAATCACTGCACGGACTGCTAATATGCAAAGTGCTGCAACAACAGCAGATCTCTTCCATCTCAGGAATGGCAGCTGTGGAGGAATAAAATGGAATGTCAGCTCTTTTGGTAATAAAAGTGTCGGAAAATGCTAGCAACATAAAAAGCCATTAACGTTGAAAAAAAACATGCAGGAACTGAAAAAACAAGTTCATGTCAAAGCATCCATTTCATTTTTTTTTCTTTTGAAGTAAAAATATGTGGATGATTGGAGGTCCAAAAATGCACTGAAAGGAGTACCAGATAATATTTAACATAGCCACGTTTTGAAAAACTTTTATTGCTGATATTGGCTAGTAAACTTTGAGGGGAGACTGACTGCAAGTTAAGCTTTGTATCAGTAAAATCTGCCCAGCCCACTAAACCTCTGGAGCCACGTTTTGTGGTTTGGTTTATAGTAGGAAATACATTCCTTAAAAAGTAGAAATAAGTTGTCCTACTAAAGTTTTGCATTGCAGTACATAAGATAAGATATTAAGATCAATGAAAGGGCATACTATGAATCTACAAATAGTTGGTTCTACTATTATTTATTAATTTGAAAAATACAAAAGAGGGAGCTAAAGATATATGTCTCTTACATTAATCGAATATGCTGTTCCAAGAATAAAGCTAATGAAAAGAGCCAGGAACAGAGGCTGTGATCCAACAGCCCATCCAAGGCCAAAGCTCTGCAATATTCACATAGAACACGTTCCGAATCAGTCTGACAGACTAAGAACCAAAATAAGCAAATTATTTATAGCTCTTGATCAGATGAGCACAATGGCAGAAAATACAAACAAACTGCATTAGATTTAATTATCTGCGCATAGTAATAAATAAACTTTCTGGAGTGCAATTGCTCAACCATATAAGAAAGGTGTATCTCCATTCTGCTACTTTTATCTTCTCGCAAATGAAAACCACTAGTTCTAAAGGCTAACATTAAAAAGGAATGTTCAAAACAAACCATGTGCTTGAACAGCCAATTTCAGCATTTCATGACCCGCATATTAAAAAACATAACAAGAAGATTGTTTTTCTTATTTTCTGGACCAAAGAAGCTTATTTACCATAGCAGCGAAGGCTGATACAAGTGCAACTCCAGTTGCAGGAGAATATTCCCCAGATGCTAATGGAAGAGTTGGCTTGTTAACCTGAAGAGATAGCAATATTAGCACCCAAAACAGTTTGGAATAAAGATAGTAAAAGACAGTGCAATTAGTACAAAATTAACATTTGAGATTACAGTGGATTCATTTTTTAACAAACAGATTACAGTGGATTCAAAGTACCTTATCTATCTCAATGTCGAACAACTGATTCAATCCAACGATATAGATGTTCATGAAAAGAGCTGCTACCACTGCCTGCACAAGTGTAACAAAGCAAATGTAGTGAAAACTTTTATCCATCTTGGGGGAATATAAAGTAAATGTGCTGCTTCAAGTTGTACCTCCAGCAAACCAGTGAGGAACAAGGGAGACACATCGGACAAATTCTCAACAGCTAGCAGCGAAACTGAGACTATGCTAAGTGCCTGATTAAACAAGCAAAATCTCTTAGTTGAGGAGAGAACAAAAGGAAAGCGCAACACAAGGACATTAGCTTCACTCAAATATCTTGGGCACTGAAGTGCGCCTAAATTGAAACATAGCAGCACCACTTAACTGTTCCTATGACAGTATGTGGCCGAGAAAACCTGTAAAATGCATCCAGAGAAGATGATATTGGCTTCCATATACTTGATGAATCATGTGCTTCAGCTGAAGATTGTAGAGGTTGTCCCGAAGCGTCAGCGGAACTAGATGTTGGTCGATGTGGTATCCTGTGGTGGGAGGATTTCCAACCAAAGAATTTCTGACATTGATCGAAGGAAGGACCTTGGGTCCTTTGGCTGGACAAAGAAACTGGCCGTTTACCATTTCTATGGATAGAACATAAAGGTGGTAGAAAGTGATCTGGAAAAGAAAAATCAGCATTTCAAAACTACGTCAAGCACTAATGAAAGAAAGATGGAGAAACAAATTACCCAAATATCACTTATTATGTTCACATATCACTTGTTATGTCATAAAACCGTGGATATTCTACTACCACTGTACTACATAGGAGCAGTCAAAGAAGAAACACTGAAACAGTTTTGTCATGCTTCCCTCGCATCAGATCAGCCTTTTCTTTTCAAAGGAGGGCAAAAGCTTTGCCTCGTATGTCTTAATACAGCAGGATCAGGTCAGTCATTTCTGTCAGTTGAAAAGATTGTTTGACTTACTTTGCCGACACACAAACATGTTATGTCTATTGCATGGTGATTACTCACACAAGCTGCAACCATCTGATAGAGAGTCGGAGAGAACAGTTACACATATATAGTGTTGAAACTACTTTCTGTAGTACTACTACTACTACATCAGTATAAACCTTCAGTAATAAATCTGTCTTCCCATGAGATAAAATTGGCATGACCTGATCACTCACAAAAACCTTCAGTAATCAAATCCCCTACTCTACCAATTCAAAATGTTTTTCTCTGCATCTTATACTGGATGAAGTAAGGTTCACATCACACTTCCAACCTAACAAAAAAAACTCCCAGCCTAACAAATCCGGCATGAAAAAAGAAAAAAAAAACACTACTGGTCTGAATATCTACAGCGCAAGCCCAAGTCAGTTTATCACCGAAGTACTCTCCAATCACACACGCTCACATCACACTGCATGCAGAGGAAGCTAAGGGGAGGGTGAGCCGCAGCGACTTACCTCGCCGGAGAGGCGGCAGCGAGGCCGCGCCGGGGGCCCGCGCGGCGAGGAGCGACGGCCGGAGGCGCAGCGAATCCATCGCCGCCGCCGCCACCACCGCGGCGGCCGGGCGCGCGCGGCGGCTGCGGGGGGGAGTGGAGTGAGTGGGCGGGCGAGGCGAGGCGAGGCGTGAGGGAGGGAGGCGTGGACGCTGCAGGAGAAGAGGAGGTGGCGCTCGTCGGATAGCGAGGCGGCGCTTTGTGCAGTCCAACACTGCGGAGTGCAAAGCACTGTTGGCCTCTTGGCTCTCGCTCTTCAGAAATTTTGCATTTTATTTTGTTTGTTTATTATTTGTAGAAATCAGCTGGGTTTCTGATGAAATATGAATATTTCTGGGATCCCGGAATATTTTATACTGTATCTTTCTAACTCTACTGTATCGTTTTCCGCGCGCACATTTTCTAAGAGCATATACAATAGGGCGATAGGTGCTATGTTGGTTTTCCTGATGAGCTGGAGGAGAGAAAATGGAAGAGAGAGAAAGCGTGCGCCTAATCTGGCGTCGGCTGCTCGCGCGCTCCAAGAGTGTCATTAATTGCTCATGCCATCATCACCTTTGAAGCACCGAAGGATGTTTCCTATGGATGTAGCACCTACTTCTATTTTTTTAAAGACATGCGAATGCTTGCAGCCATGGTAAAAGGACGGCGCCACAGTGAACTTGGGGTAGAGCGCTCAACAACGATGCGACAAAGGCATGAAGATTGACATGGAGCAGTGAGGTTGTTGGTGATGATGGAAACTGTGAGCTCGAGGGTTACAACCGAAGCGTTGGAAATTCGGTGCCACCATGCTCCATGCATCAAGTCATTTTCAGCGAAGGCCTTTGCACTCTCTAAGCTTATTGATGTGAGCAAAGGAGCCACTGAAACAACTAGTATTACTCCACTTTCTTCGTTTCAATTCTAAGTTGCTAGACTTTGGAATGGGAGAATAGACGCTAGTGATCATTTTGGAATGGAGAGAATAGACGCTAGTGATCAGACTGTGGATGAGAAGGTGATGGTATACGCTAGAAAAAAGAAGAAGGGATTATTTCTTTTCTTGGGAATTGCGTAGAGACCATACTATCAACCATGCTGTTGTACTATATGTGAGCTGTATGGTATTACTTTGGCTGATTTGGCAAAGTTTTGGAGCCAGCGGTTTAATCTTCTATTGATCTTGCTCTTAGGTTGTATTCTTTTGTGGTAGTTAGGAACTCCTTCCCTAAAAACAAAACAGAGGATTTACGCATAATTAATTAAGTATTAGCTATTTTTTTAAAAAAATAGATTAATATGATTTTTTGAAAGTAACTTTCCTATAGGAATTTTTTTTTAAAAAAATGTTTATCACTTTAGGAAAAAAACAGACTAAGCAATGTGACTGTTCGAAAACTTTCTATAGAAAATTTATTTAAAAAACATATAATCTATTTTAAAATATTTTTATAGCTAATGCTTAATTAGTCGTATGTTAATCCACCACTTCGTTTTATGTGAAGAGAAAATGTTTTCCACCTCTACTAGTGGTTCTTTGAAATATCAAATAAAAATTCACACGAAGTACCATAAGTACTCCTAAAAGCCTTTAAACCGTCCTTTGGAGTTTGAACGATGAGCGCAAGTAAGCACTATTTGGCTCAACGAAACCATACCATAATGTAGAAATAAACCGTATTACTATTTGGCGCAACTCTAAAGTGTTTATGAACATGTATAAAATGAGTTTATCATAATTATTTTATGGCACAAACAAATAAATTATATTAGAAAGTCGAAAGAGTTAATTTTAAAAAATTCTAAGGCATGCTAATGAACAAACTTTTTTTTTTCTAAAAATTGTATCATTTAGAAACTCAAAACATGCCCACAATAACATCATGATCTAAGAACAGTGTGTGGATGTAATCTGTATATGCCACTGGATGCGTACAAAAATACAGAATGTACGTACCTAGAATAACAACGTCGAACGGGACAATACCTACTGTCCTACATTAACGAAGTACTCCACTCCATTGTACTCCATGCGATGGCTCAACTATGGAACATGGTCCCTAAGACTGTCTCCAATAGCGGAGACCCATTCTAGAGACTCATATCATGGATTGGGTGATGCACAGTAAAAAGGTCGGACACTCAAAAATTCCTTTCTCCAACAGCCTACCCAGTGCTCCCAATCTTCTTCTCTCTTCGCCTCGTCCTCCCGTCGTGGCAGCGGCGTCAGCGGAGCAGGCGGGTCCCAGCCCTCGTCTCTCCTCCCTCCTCCCTCCGGCGGCCATCGGCTCCAGGTCGTCCTCGCGGCGGCGATGCGCGCCGTTCATCCTCACAGGGGCGGAGCGGTGATGGCCAGGTGGAACGCTCCCGCCGGCGGCTTGTGGCGCGGTCCGTCCTCGCGACGGCGTTGCTCGGGGCGGAGTGCGCCCGCTGGTGGCTCGCGGCACGACTCCTCGAGACGGCTGTGGTCGGGGCGGAGCGGCGGTGGCAGGCGGAGCACACCCGCCGGCAGCTGGCGGCACGGCTCGTCCTCGTGGCGGCGATGCTCGGAACAGAACAGCGGGAACTGCGACGACCGCGCTCCGCCGCGGACTCGCCCCGCCGGCCGCACTCCGCCCTGACGCCACTACGGGAGCAGGACGCCTCCTCCCCGACGGCGCGCTCCGACGGTGCTCCCTGACGGCGCGCTCCGACCGCGCCCCTACGGCGCTCCCGCCCCGCCGTGCGAGCTCCGCCTCGCCGCACCAGCTCCGCCTCACCCTGGCCCACCGCGCGACTGCACGAGCTCCGCTCCAGTGTTTTGCGTCGGTGGAGAGAGGAGACGGATATTTGCCTAGCGCTTTGGCCGCTACCCAATATGCGTATCGCATTTGCCTCTCCCGTTGGAGGCTGTTTTTTTTACCCAAAATCACTGTGCACGACGGATAAATGAGTATGCGTCGCGTTGTTGGAGACAGTCTAATAGACATTCAACTTGGTCTTGCACTTGCACACAAGACTAACAAGGATGTCTGAACCATCCTGCCTCTGCATTGCAATCCACAATTTGGGTTGCACGACAAAAAATGTAAAATGTCCTTACTCAACGGGACCGGTTCAGAGCATATACAATAGCAGGCTAATGCTATTAGCCAGGTGTAAACATATTTTAATAAGATAAATGATAAAAGAGAAGAACAACGGGCTAAAGATCTGTAGCTAAGTGTAGCACGGACTCCAAGACACACTATGTGTATAACAGGTGGGACCATATATTAATAGTATAGTAAGCAACTATTGTATAAATTGGCTATTAGATTGGCTATAAATGAATTGGAGCTAGTAGTGGGCTGTAATATTAGATTTGCTCTCATAGAGAAAAGCCACTGACATCGAGCTAAAAAACAGAGCGTCAGTGACTGTTCGCTCCGCTGGATGCTTACAAAAATTGATGGAACCTCGAATTGATCACAATGTTTCAACAGCACAGCACGCCCTGCGTTATCGTTTAGGGCAGTCCCAACCCATAGTGTCCATAAGTAGTGTCTATAGTGCCATGTCAATAAGACATCACAATAGAAACTACACTCTACAACCCATGGTTTCTTAAAGTGGGCCATTAATAAATATATCATCTCTCTTCTTTACCAATCATATTTATTCTTTATCTATTATGAAGACACTATTCTCTCCCAATGCAAAACTTGATAGTGTCTAGTGCATGGTTCTCGTGTTGAAACTGTGTCTTGCATGAGACCCAGTTTCTTCCTCTCTTCACACTCTCTCTCTTAATTAATATAGTGCCATATAAGCTAAAAGTCCTACATGGCAATGTAGTTAATGCCATAGACACTGTAACACCCTGAAAATTCGACCGACAAAATCAAGACTCTAAAAATACGGTTTTTCAAAAATTTTTTTAAACTAATTGCATCATGCCGATCTTATTCGTCTATTTTATCGGGATTTGATCTCGAAGATTATTAATCGTGAGTAAAGAATAGTTAATTAGGAATAAACCTTAGAAACAAATTGGTAAAATAAATACAAATTAAAATAAAGATTAGGTGGGGATAGAAATAAATAAAATATTATCGCGACCATATTTGGATCAATTAAATTTAAATACGATGGAATAAGAATTAACCCTAATTAAAACTCAAATAAATTATATAAAAATAAAATATGAGTAATATTAATCTAGGGTGAATTTATTAGTTAAGATAACACAAATATTGAGTAAAATGCATATATGCAAAATTAGGAATTGTGGAATCAAATTTATATGGAAAATACACTAAAATCGGGTTAATTAGAAAACGGCACTGTTCATTGCACCTAAGGTGTTCGACGTGGTCCCCTAACCCAGCTCCTCCTCTTTCCCCCTCTCTCTGTCGCCACCGTCACCACGCGTCGCCGCCTCGCGCCCCGAGCCGCCGCGCGCCGTCGCCATCATCGCCTGCCGCCGCGCCACCGTCGCCATCGCCGCCTGTCGCCGTCGCCATCTCATCGCCGCGGCCGCGCCGTTGCCGTCGCGTCCCGCCTCGCGCCACGCGTGCGTTCCATCGTCGCCTCGCGCCGCGCGCCACCACTGCCGCGCCGTCGCTGTCGCCATCCCATCGCCGCGTGCGCGTTCCATCGCCGCCTCGAGCCGTGCCGCTGCCGCGCCGCGCGCCGTCCCATCGCCTCGCGCCGCGCGCCCGCTGCTTCGCGCCCCGCGCCGCTGCCACGTGCCGCGCCGCCTTACGCCCCGAGCCGCGCCGCGCCGTCGTCATCTCCGCCCGCGCGCCGCGCGCCGTCACATTGCCGCCGTGCGCCGCCGTCCCATTGCCGCTGCCGCACCGCGTTGCCGTCGCGTCCTGTCGCCCTTGAGCCCCACGCCGCGCCGCGCCGTCCCATCGTCGCCCCGCCTGTCACGCCGCTCCCACGCCACCCGTCGCGTCGCCCGTCTCGAGCCCCGCACCGCCGCCCGTCGCATCGCCGCTCCGAGCCCCGCGCCGCCATAGCGTCGCCGCCCGCGTGTCGCCATCGTCCCGTCCCGAGCGCCGCCGTCGTGTCACGCCGCCGCCCCTCCCCCTCTCCTTTCCCCCCTTTCTACAAATACCCCCCTCTCTCCATTTTCCCCTACCCCATCTCACCCTTCCTCCCCTCTTCCCTCTCCACTGCGCCGCCGCTCTCGTGCCACCGAGCCGCCGTTCCCGAGCCGCCGTGCCGTCGCTCTCGTGCCGCCGCGCCGCCGTTTCCGCGCCGCCGTTCCCGTGCCGCCGTGTCGCCGCTCCCACGCCGCCGTGCGCCACCGTC